GCCCCCCTCTTCCCATTTTCTTCCAAGAGACCCATTCTGCTAGTTGCTTAGCAGACGGAAAACCTTATGCCCCAGGATGAAAGAACCACGAACCATTTCTGGGCCCAGCATTAAATGTTTCAACAAACAAACTCATGAACCTTAATGGATGGTTGCCCCACCATAATATGTGAGTAGAAGCCTTGAGCTGAAAAGTTTATGGCAGGGGTCTTCAAACTTGGCCCTTTTATGACTTGTGGACTTCAACTCCCAGAATTCCTCAGCCAGCATGCCTGGCTGAGGAATTCTGGGAATTGCAGTCCACAAGTCATAAAAGGGCCAAGTTTGAAGACCCGTGGTCTATGGGATGGTTGTAGAGAAGGTTTCACAAATGCGGTGGACTTATAAAAATCCTCCATAAAAATCCTCCCCCCACACCCTTTTCCTCCCATCTTCCCTCTAAGGATATTCATCCAAATAAACCTGCAATCGATACTCACTTGCAAGGACATTTACACGTACTTTTCCTCAAGAGCTAGACAGCCACCATTTTGGCCGCTTTCTTCTGCCAAGCAATTATTTTAAAATCCTGGCCTAAACGTGCATACACGTACACAAACACACCCGTCGATTCTTGCTATTTTAAACGGTTTAAATTTGGAACGACCCACTCCGTCCCTCCCCCCTCCCTCCCTCCCTCCCTCCCTCCTTCCTTCGTCTCTTGATCTTTTTCTTCTACCTCTTGTAGGCTCTCTTTATTTAAGTGAATAAAAGTTTAAAGCTGGAGGTTATTTATTGTTCCGTCGAGATAAGTCCTAAGTGGCTCTTTCGAAGCACGTGATTCCAATAAACTTTGTTTTATGGCCTGAGAGTTGACAAGCCAAAATATAATTCCCACCATAAATTAGTTTAAGAGCATACAAGTGCAGATGCTTTCGTTCCTGGAAGCAGCAGTGACAGAAAGAGTGTTTAAGCAGGAGTCCTCTGACTGAAACTGAACTCCAAGCAGACCCTTTTCTCCATTCCTCGTCCCTCTGGGAAAGCTTACAGTAAGTCTCTTCTCCTTCCCCCTAGACAGACGCACGATTTTTGTCTGGAAGCGTGCGTTTGGATGCGGACCGGTCTATTCGCTGAAATGGTAGAATACAAGAATCACGAAGAAGTGACGGGATCAGATTTGTTCCCGTTAAAAACTAGATACAGCTCAATTGATAGCTCACGGTCACGCGGTTGTTTTTTTTTTTATTGCTTCGTTTACTATTATTGTTGTTGCTTTCGTTGGACAAAGCTCGTGGATAATTACCAACTCTTTTATTTTCATCAATTCAAGAAGCTGGCCTGTTATTCTGGAAGTAAACCGGAGGAGTGGGAAGAGAGACGGGATCCCTTGAGATAAAAAGTTACTGCTGCGCAATTATTACTACCCACTTAAATGTGTCTCTGCGTTTTTATAACCCTCTACAGGAATAATGCAAACAAAAGGATGAAAAGTTATAAAGGGATTTTTAAAAAAAGAAAAGAAAAGAAATAGTTTGTTCATTTTTGATGTATTGTCTCTAGATAATGAGTGGGAGAGAACATAGAATTGATGAAAGACAAGATCCTTAACAAGATGCGTTTAAATAAGCATTTTGCTCTAACTTATGTGAATAACATTCTTTCCAGCGAGGATTTAAAGAGAATAGATGATTATGGGTCTTCAGGAATTCTCTACAATTGTAATGGTTTTAAGGAAAGTTGCCCTGTGCTCCTTGGAAAGAAAGCAGGACTGCTATGACTCTCACTGAATTTTACAGATGTGTTTTATTTTTAAAAATCTCACTTGGCTGTCCTCTTTACGCCTTTTGAAAAAATCAGGACAAAGCACAAGGTGTGCTAATTTCTTGCCCCTGTGATCTCAACATTGTTCAAGAATACTTCTGGAGAGTTGTAAGCTACTAAATTTTCTAAATTGTCAATAACAGAAGCAGATGAAATACAGCACAATTCAAGAGGATTTCTTCAACCTCTTTCTCTCTCTTTTTTTAAATTGCAACAGGTTCGGGACAATGGAAAGACAGCTCCAGTAAGTGAACTCTTCCTTTTTGCTAAACCTGTTGGTTTTCCAAATATTGCTTTGCACATTTTGCTGATACAAAGAAATGAATTCAACTTTGCTGTGCTCATGAAATGTATCTCTAAAGTTAGTTGTACTTGAGAGTTTGGAGTGGGGGGGGGTGATCAGTTTGCTTTCTTACATCCTTCTCCATCTCTGTGATGATAGATCGCTGCAAATGGTGATCTCAGTTTCTAGGGAGGTAATTTTCAAGGCTTCACAGGTGTAAGGTGTCATAATCTGCCGCTCATCAATATTTTCCAGCTAATGATTAGGATTAGCATTTTAACTGGCTCAAGCTATATGGTGTCTCCCTTTACAAACCTTGTTAGAAGTGGGCTGGGCTGTTTGTTGACTTCAAAATACATTGTACTTATACTCAGCCTTTGGGGTTGTCTAAGGAAATAATTGGCTCTAAAGGTACCTGGGAATATTTCTTTAGCTTGAAGACATATATCTGGAAATAGGGCCCATTGGTTTCAATGAAAACCTCTATGCCTAGCCACTATGCTTGGAATCGGAAGCATGATGATTTAACGCAGTCTAAAATATTGAAATTAAATGCTAACCCGATTAAATGAAGTGTTTTTGCAATAGGATGATGAACTATAAGAGGAAATGTGATATTATTGGTGGATGAATTTAGGGAAAATTGGTTAATTGTCATTCAGCGTGGAGGAACAAAGAACAGGAGAAAAAGATGGATCTGTTTTAAGAAATAAAGGAGAGAGAGACAGGGGAAGAGAAAAAAGTGAGGCCAAAATAAAGGGAAAGGTGTGTGGGGGGGGGGAGGTGAATGGAAAGGAAACCAAAGTTGAGATTGCTTAAATGTTGCAGAGGTTTGAGGCATAATGAGGTAATCTGTTAATTGAACTACTGAGAATTACAGTGCATTGCTTTTTGTTTGGAAAAAGAAACACATTGGCTCATTATAATAATCAGTTTTTAAACATAATTCTTTAAAGTGGCTGGCTATGACTCCCCCTTTCACAACATTCTTGATTTTTAAAAACTTACCTTATTGCTTTTAAAATTCAAACTGATGTATTGTGTATCTCTACCTTTGTGGATTCCTTTGAGAGCTCTAAACCATTGATTGCATTTTCTCCCCTAGATAAAACCTCTGTATGCTTTGCCTTTGTTTTGGGATCAGTTTTCTAGCCCTATAACTCTTTTTAAAAAAAATTAAAAAAATTAAACCCCCTTTTCATTCTGGCTGTCTTTCCCTTTCTTTTTTTTTAAAGTCTTTCTTAAACTTAGTGTTAGCATACTAATTATGAACCAGCATACAAAAAGGACTGGTGGATCAAAAGAATTTGTAGGGGCAGTTGAGCAGAGGAGGTGAATATTTAACGCTGTTGTCCATCAATAACTCTTTGGCTTTGACCTGTCTGAGCAAGTCTTGCAATAAGGTGAAACGCAGGTCACAGCGTCTAACAAATATGAAAATCTGTGCTATTGCCCAAAATATTGGAGCAATATCTTTTTTTTTTTTTTTTTGCTTCTTTCGGTGATTTCTACCTGACCTTTCCAAGGTGTGGCCTCTCTTGTGCCCCAAAACCACACACACATATAACATTCAAAAAATTGGCTACTTAGTACATTTCAGTATTTTTAACTAAATAGGCAAAAAGGATTAGGGGTAGGAGGAGCCACTGATTTTCCTCTAAAATCATTTTCAGCCAACTCTGGAAATAGATATGGACTGAGAAATTTGTTAAGTTCAATTCTGTTTCCGCAGGGAGAAAAATCATCTTTGGATACAAAAAGCGCTCTGCCTCACAATTCAACACAAGACAAGAAAATAGAACAGTCCTTTAAGCTTACTGATCACAGATGCACAAACATATCCTGATGTTTGTTTTATTTTATATTATTTTGAATAGCCAAACAAGAGAGAGAACTAAAGGGAGATTGACTGCAAGACAGCACTTAGAAATGGGTCAGCCACAATGCATGAACTTTTGGACTCAAGCGTGCTGCTGTCGACAAACTAGAAATAATGAAATGCTGGGATATGTTTGTAAATGGTTTTGGGTGACCTCCGGCCCTGCCCTTTGCATAAATGCAACTGTCTGAAAGCCAGAAGACAGGGCTTTTGTTGCCCATATAAGTATATATCTATTTTAAACAGATGATCTCTGCTTTTAAGAGACTAATGGAATCTTTAAAAATACCCCCCTATTATTAAAAACAAAGCTAAATACCTGTTTTTCTTGTTAGAGATTCTCCCTTTGTACAACACCTTTTCTTTGATGATGAAAGATGATTTATTTATTATTTTGAATACCTTCCTCTTTTTTTTTTTTTTTTTACAAAGAGAAATTTACTTGTCAAATCTTTTCCCGATTCAGATGTGATGCCTAGAGTCTTAGTTCTGTTAGAGTGGCTCAGCTCTATAATTCAGAAATCTGGATATCCTGCTCACTGTTCCTTATCACACCAGTTGTGGGGTTTTTTGTTCGTTTTTCTATGAAATTATATACATCTTTCCCTTCATACCCATGACGCCAGGTCTTTCCCCCAACAGAACCCAGTGTGTATTCCTTGGATGAAAGTCAAAGGGCTGGAAACAGAACAGTGTGGCTGCCTTTATGAAAAGAACAGAATGTTGTTACGTTGTCTATATATACCCTGTAGAACCGAATTTGTGTGGTATTTACGTAGTCACAGATTCGATTCTAGGGGAATATATGGTCGATGCAAAAACTTCACTTTTCTGCTCATGGTTAGGAGATGTAAAGGGAGAAGACCTGCCTGCCTCACGCTAGAACAGGAGCCGCGGTCTTCATCGCATTTTAATTGTCCTTTGGTAGCACATCCCATCTTAAACATGCTCGCACCAGCAGCACAAAGAACCTGGAAAAAGACTAGCCGGCTGGTTAAAAACCTTCTCTTTCGATATCATATCAGCAGCCATTTGCAAAAGGTGAATAAAATGTTGATATTGGCGGAGGGTTTTTTTTTTCCTCTTCACTTACCTACCTTCTTTTCAAACTAATATCGGATGTCTCTGAAAAAATTAATATCTTTGTAACAGAAATGTCCTCTGCTAACGAGCTGATTATTAGATAGAGGTTTCCTTAAGGTGTAGGTTTGCTTTTGATTCTCTTTTGTGACTGTTTTTACAAAGAGAGAGAGAGAGAGAGAGAGAGAGAGAGAGAGAGAGAGAGAGAGAACACTGAACTTCCAAACTTTCAGAATAGTTTCCTGTGCCAGCCGATTTGTGTGTTGCATTTTGACCCAAACCGATTTTTACGCTGGGGACAAGGACTCCGAAGCGAGTTACTCATTGCCTAATTGTATGCCGCCCATCTAGACTAGGGTAATTTTTGATTGACCCCGGCCACAAAGGCGAACCAGGTCCATTGTAGGCGGTGTTGCTCGGGCGTTTGATGCTGGCTCCTGATTTCCTGCCCTTTCCCCGATGTTCAGTGCTCGCCCTGCAACTAACGAACCTTTCTCGCGGTGCCTTACCTTGCGAGGTAGGGAAGGGCATCCAAAGGTTAGAAAAGGCAGGGGAGACAAAAGGCACCCTTCACCTGGGGCAGCCGGCGGGCAGAGAGGGAGAAAGGGGGGGGGCAGATAGAGGTTGCCACGCTGCTGGGGTTGGCCATCAATGGATGCATCGGGTTTTACGGATTCGCATCTCTTTTGCAAAACATGTGCGCGGGAGGAAGGGAGGGAGAGAGGGAGGGAAGCAGCGCACACGACTCGGATAACATGCGGGTCCCCTTGATTACCCGTACATTATTTAGTGAAATTTGAGGAAATTGCGGTGTACACACAAATCCGGTGATCAAGCCCCGCGTCTGCCGATTGGCTCAGCCGGTCACGTGGTCGCCTAACTTTATTCAGTTGACAGCAAGTAGGAGGGCTCTCTGGAAGGAGAAAAAAAAGACAGCGCCAGAAAAAATTAGTAATTTTCTATCTTCCGAAATTAATGGCCATGAGTTCGTATATGGTGAACTCGAAGTATGTGGACCCCAAATTCCCCCCTTGCGAGGAATATTTGCAGAACAACTACCTAACCGAGCAAGGCTCGGATTACTACGGCGCCTCGCAAGACTCTGATTTCCAGCACCAGGGACTCTATGCACGGCCAAACTACAGCGGGCAGCAGTCCTACAGCTGCAGCAATGCCCAAGGCTCGGCGGTGCAGGCGCGGGGTCACGGACAGGAGCAACCCGGCCTGACGGGCCCCATCCCCGGGCAAGGGGAGCACTGCCCCCCGCCCCCAGTGACTGCCCCCAGGACTTGCAGCCAGCATCCAAATCTCAAAAGCCCGAACGGGTCACCCGCAGCAGCAGCAGCAGCAGCCAAGCAGCCAGCCGTGGTGTATCCCTGGATGAAGAAAGTCCACGTGAACTCTGGTAAGCTCCCTTTCTTTTCTCCATCTCCTCCTCCACGTGTCTCCCTCTCCCTCCCTCTCTCTCCCTCCTCCAAAGAGGCCTTTCCAGATTCCACCAGGAGAAAGTTAGGTGGAAATCGAGGTTGTCCACTATTCTTGCCATAAAGGTTTGGGGGTGGATGAAATAGGCCCCTTTGGCCATGTGCCTGAGAAGGAGGGAGATTCTCTTTCACAAAGGTGCTAGGATTTCTGAAGTCTACTCTGTGACTGAGAGAGAGGAAAGGAACGAATGGAAGAAAAGCCCACTGCTAGTAATAGCCATTAGAGAAGAGTTTGCAGTGGCTCCTAAAGAACCAGTAGAGTCTAATGAAAAAAATAATAAATCAAAATTGACTTACAGATATTATTTGGGGCAGCAAGGATGTTAACAACTGCCTTTGATATATTTTTTTCTCCTCTCAGTAAATCCAAACTACACAGGAGGAGAACCAAAGCGCTCTCGCACAGCTTATACCAGGCAGCAAGTCCTTGAACTGGAAAAGGAATTTCACTTTAACCGGTACTTGACCAGGCGGCGCCGGATTGAAATCGCCCATACGCTGTGTCTCTCTGAGCGGCAAATTAAGATCTGGTTTCAGAACCGAAGGATGAAGTGGAAAAAAGACCACAAATTGCCCAACACCAAAGGCCGCACATCCAGTTCCTCCTCCGCCTCCAGCCATCACTTACAAACGGTTTCCAAGGAACACCACCAAACGGATTTGACCACTTTATAGAAAACTTGGAAGCAAGCCTTTTTCCCAGCGTTGGCTTCGGAATTAGGCTGCCCAGGATGTAGGCAGTCAAATACAGGCGCTCACAAACACATAATGACACTAATACTCATCCTGGTGAAAGGGAAAGCAAGGTGTAACACTTTACAACTTTCCAATGGGTCGCCTCCTGCTTTCTAAGACAGTGGAGACAAATGTTACGGGGACCACAGGAGTGACGGAAGTCAACCTAAACATTCAAACAAACAAATTCTGCTTCCAGGTGGTGAGAAAGTGATATACTGTATATCTTATCTGTCTATATATATATGGAAAACATAAATAAATCAAATTAATATTTTTAAATAAAATTCCCCTGGCAGCAGACAGCTGGACGCTACTGCAGACAACCTATTTGGGATTGCCTTTATAATCTACCCGAAAGGGTTTGGGTATTTGAGATTAGCTGTTTTTGCCTGTTTTTTCATTATTCCAGGTTGTGGAGCAGGGCAGATCCAAAATTGACTTGAAAACAGGCAAAGGTTATCTTTTCATTTCTTTGAATACTTTCAATAAACAATCTTAAATTAAAAGCTTACCCAATTCCTCTACCTTAGCAGGAATATCTTTAAACAATGAAGTGAAACGGGTTATTTTCATGTGTTGGTGATATTGTATTAGCCTATGTATTTATTTGTTAGTTAGAAAAAGAAAAAAAAATCAAACCAAAAATATAAATAGAGGTAAAAACAAATCTTACTCTCCCTCTCGCTGCTTGGATTTTGTTTTTGAAAACTGATTTCCTTTGCTGCTTTCCTTTCAGGTTTTTCTGTACATAGGAAATCTTTTTTCAGTTTTTCAGATGAGATAAAAAAAGAACCTGGGATTTTTTTAAAATTTGAAATGGACTAAGTGTTCCCTTTTGTTCATGGCTTGTACTTTAAGCCAAGAGAGGAAGAGGAGGAGGAGGAGGAGGAGGGGGAAAGTGGATTAAATCAACCACAAAAGCCAAGCCTCTCCCCCACCAGTGTAATAAATATTCCACGTGATCTGTGACCCTCAAATTTATTTTATGTTCATCCTAGATTACTATTTTTACTAGCTTCTTTTGATTTAATTTATTGTGTTGGCATTAAAAACAAAAGAACAAAATAGAGAAAGAGTAGATTCTATGGTTTGGATGGAAAGATCAGTGCTTCCTTTTGATTCAGATGTATATATACAAGAAGGTGGATATATTTTAAACAGATTTTCAACATAAGGGCAGCTCTTACTGAGAGAAGAACAAATGAGGATAAACTTTGGCAGAAATTCATGTCTTTTGCACTGACGAGTAAGATTTTTTTTATTCTTTGCTTCTTCTTTTCTTCTTTGAAAAAAAAAATCAGATTTTGCCAAAAGAATTTAAGCTCACACCATGATGATATAAAGGAAGATTCCCCCCCCCCTTAAAATCATTTATTCTTTCCAACCTAATCTTGTGACAGGAACAAAGCAAATGTTTCCCCTCTGCCCGTTTTCAGTTGGAAAAGCAGGGAGAAAGGTTCTGGGTTCAAGTATTAAACTCACAGTCCCTCACGGTAAACTCACAGTTTAAATTTTGTGCTTAAGCATGTTTATTTATTTCCAAGGTAAATTTGCTAGGTTTAATGGAATACGCAATCTCAAATTCTATCAATGGGGAAAGTTTTGAATTCAGGAACCTCACGCTAACACACAGGCATCTCATTTGTTTCTTTCTTTTTTTTCCAGGCAGGCTGATTTCTAAGCGCATCCCTTGATTTAAAGGAAAACAATAAAAATAATATTAGAGAAAGGGAAAGAAAAGGACATTCCCCCCCCCCAAATAATTGACATCCCAGAGATCCACACTTAATGTTAGTGGATCTTAAGGGAATAAACCTGGTAGTTAAATTATACCGCTTGCGGATAGGAAAATTTTAGGATTAATCTCCTAGCGGGCTCTTCCTTTCTCTCTCTTTTGGTGCCAGAGCCCCTTTCTTTGTCCTCTTTGAGCTGAACCTCCTCTTAGTCCCAGGCTCAGCCCCTAGCTCTGGCTCGCTCCGGTTTTTCTGTTGAATATCTGCCCGTCATGATATTAAAGATGGATATTTGGGCATTATTTGTGTCATTGTCTCTATGACAAAAAGCACCCCCGTCCATTCAGGGGGAAGAGGACGCCTCCACGTTGAGAGGCTCAAAAGGTGCTTCTTTGCTCTCGCTCCCTTTTTCTTTTCTTCCTTTTTGTTTTTACTGAAGTTCGGCTCAACTGTAGAAACAGGTTCATCCAGAGGACAAATTTTCTATGCGATTAGCCTGTATTGCAGCCTGGAGGAATGACCTCTAAACCCTTAACCTCTTCGACCTGGAGGAGTCCCCCTTCCTTTTCGGCTGCCTAGCAAAGCCCAAGACTGCTTCAAACCCACTTGAAGTCTAAATTCGGAGGTTCTTTCTTTCTTTCTTTCTTTCTTTCTTTCTTTCTTCCTTCCTTCCTTCCTTCCTTCCTTCCTTCCTTCCTTCCTTCCTTCCTTCCTTCTTTTTTTTTTTGAAAGCACCCGCCTAACTGCTGACTGGGGTGGATTGTCTCTGGATCCTTTTCAAAAATCTCATCCCACAATTGTTTGAATCTGGAGGGAGGGAGAGTTCACATTAGGCCTGGTTTGAACCACTACTGCAGCCCTGTTCTGGCCTGAGCAGGAAACTGGCAGCCTCAGCTCCTTGGCAGCCTAAGCCTTTGCTTACTTACTAGCAGGCAAGTCCCCTCTGCCTTCAGCAGCCTAAGTCTTTTTTCAGTCTTGCTTCTTCTGGAGTCTCTTCTAATGGGGCATTCCCTCAGTAAGAGGTCTCAATATGATTGCATGGGAGGAAATCTGGGAAAGGCGAGGAGGAGAACAAGGGAAACTTCTTTGGGGTTTTTGGGACACAAAACTGTTTCTCCTCCAAATAGCTTAACAAGGGACGCCACTTTGCTGAAGATAGATTTTAACTTAATCTTGTTTAGGACCACAGATCCGAAGCCTAATCCTATCATATTTGTTCAGAAGTCAACTCCAAGGATTAGGGCACTGCAAAGGACCGTTAGCGCAAGCCTTTAAGTCTGCTTTGCGTAACAGGACGAGGGTGAGGAAGGCTGTAAAATTAAACACCCTAGGAAAGCTATATTCCTTCCCCCGCTGCTGCCCCCATCTTCCCCACACACAGTGACACCTATTTCCCAGTAAACAGGTTCTGAAGGGAACTGCTGTTGGGACAAATTTTACTCCACTATATAGCCCATCCCTCCCCAAACCCATGAATTGAAGAGGATGCAGAAGGTGTGAAGAAAACAGTACTGGCCCAAGTCCTTTGTAATGTTAATGTCTTCTTGACAAATGTTTAGTTCAAACTAAAGTTGACTTGAGAGAGTGTGTTTGAGTGCAGGGGAATCCTCTTTGAGCTTTTTTTTTTTAAAAAAAGTCTTAAATCTTGGTGGTATGTATGTTAGCGCACCCTTGAAAGGAAATGATAAAGTGGCCGAGTTTCAAAGGTTTTCTATTTGATGGCTCCACATTGTAAACATTTGGTCAAAAATGTGAATGAAAATGCACGTGGGTGCCCACTGTTTACTTCCTACCATCCTTTTTCACTGTTTCTGGGAGGGAGGCAGCAAAGGAGACTGTTCTGGCTGTGAGTTAAGCTGGGATGGTACCTCCAGCAAATGGAAGTTGAAGTCATTTTCTTTCCGTTCGCATAGGACTATGCCTTTGGGTCCAACTGCATTGTCCAACAATCTCTGTTTACTAGATTTCGCCAATGTTTTGCTGCCTCTGAATAAACAACTATTTATACAAACGGCTTTGATATCATTATTTGCATACCCAGTTTTGATGCACAGGCACACACAAAATGTAAAGACCGGTATTCTGCATCTAGACTTTTGCCCAGGATAGGGAGGGTGGATGCTTGTCGAAGTCTGGTGTTTAGAAAAAGCTTGTCAAAATATGGTTTTTGTTTTGTTTTGTTTTGTTTTTAAAAAAGACAAGATGGTGTCTTCAATCTAAAATGCTCAAATTATGCTTCAAGGAACAAGCAGAAAAAGAGTGGGTGGGATTGTTAGTTAAGGATCCAGTCTCTCTGATTTTAGGAGGTCATATTCCCAAAATAATATGCAAAGGTCTCCATCTTTATGCACATAGAACCACACTTCACATTTCAGTTCTAGGCATAGTTACTTAAAATTAAGTCTGATTCCAGGACCAGCCGCTTCTAAGTAAACTTACTTGAGATTACAGCTGAATATGAGGCTGCAGTCCTCTTCCTGCTTGCCTGGGAATAAATTCTATTGAACCCAAAGGCACTTCCTTCTGAGTAAACATGCATAGAATCACGTTGTAAATCACTCTGTTCAATGGAGCGAAGTCACCAACAGATATGGCCAGGATCAAGAGTTCACTATGTCAGGAGGAAAAAAGAGAAGGTACTTTGAAATATTTCTTGGTTTAGTTTGAAATTTCTTGGTTTAGTTTGAAATTTAGCCAAAGTTATTTCCATTGTACAACTGGGAAGTTTTCAGTGTGCTTTAAAATACTCTGCAACATTATTTACTTTCATTAGGATTATTTACTTTTAGAATTTTTTCCCAGTGACCTTTTAATGGCATTTTGTGTATGTATACTTGTCCTGAATCCTGATCCAGAAACTGTTACTTTGCAGTCTCCTCTTAATCTAATGGATGTTCCTTTCCAGAGAAAGTTGTGATTTGGTCCCAACTCCTTTTAGAAGTGTTTAGAACATCTGCATTAGAATCTGAAGGAAGTTTATATTATGGCTTCCATCTGCTGGTGCAGGTCTGTGTCTGCATGTATGCATATTGTTAAAAGGACAACATTGAATTTGGGAAATGCATTGGCTGTAGGGATGAAGAGAAGGATGCTATGGATCATAAACTTATCCATAGCCTTTTTTTTCTTTCTAAAGGATGTTAGAAGGTCTGGCTGGAATAGTAGTATCAATAAAGTAAACCACTACAGTAAAATTTAAAATGATTAATATTGCAGCTGGAGGCTAAAGGTGAACACTAGCCTATTCATTTCCTAATATATTCTAACTTCTCTATTGTCCAGTCAAGTACTGCACAATTAATTAGTTCTTAAGGTTGAGGTTAAAACTTGACCTGTCTCATGTAAGACCCTTCTTCCATTTTTTCAGGGCAAAATCAGGCTAGAAATTTCAGGTGGCTCCATTTCAGTAAATAATTTCAATTCCAGAATCACTCTTCTCTCCCCCCACCCCCACCTCCAATTTACCCTCTACAGTTTTGCAGGGTCTGCATGTTCCTATTTTTTTTTTTATTCAAGAGAAGGCAACATTTTGAATGAAATTTATTTCTGGATTAAAAACATGCCAAGGTCAGAATCTTTCATCTGCACATTTGGGCTATTTCAATCCAGAACTCTGTTAAGGAAAAAGAAGCATAGAATTTAAATTTATTTGAAATTTCTCCTCCCTTGCGGTTTTTATTTTTTACTTTCCACTTTTTGTACTTTCACCTTTCTAGGGAAGTGGACAAGAATCCACATTCCCCGTAGAAGGAGTTCAAAAATCCGAATGCTTTGGTGGGCTGAAAGGAAGTGGTTGTATCCTTTGGAGTTGTCCACTCAGGCTACAAAGGAGACCGTTGTTTTGCTTGTTTGTAACCTAAGGCTGCGCTTGAGGCCATAGTAGGAAAGTTGAACCCCAGAATGTCCAGTGGCCTTTTGTACAGGGGGCCTTTTTTTTTTTGCAAGGGCCCCCAACCTAAGACTTCAGGCCCAAGTCACTTTCCAAATTTAGATGCAGCCCATAGAGTCTCTGCTAAATGTTTCACAAGTTGTGACTGTTAATGAGCACCCAAAGGGGAACTTGGTATATGCAGGGAAGTAACCATGGGAAGTAACTGTAGTTAATCGAGTGTTAATGACACTTCAATTGCATTTGGGTTTCTGTGGTGGCTCCATCCACTTTTGGCAATGCGGGTCTAGAGCAGCCCACCCTCCCCCCCGCCCCCAAGTCGTTGAGGCCAGACTGCTACTATTGCTTTCCTTCTCATGAGGAAGGAAGGAAGGAAGGAAGGAAGGAAGGAAGGAAGGAAGGAAGGAAGGAAGGTTAAGGAGAAAGCAGAGCGCTGGCAGTGCTTGGCTTTCTTCAGCTGTTTGAAATGGCCCTCATATCTGCCCTTTGGACATGTGGTTGATGGGCCTCGCAGTCCAACCCATCTGGAGAGCGCCCGGGGGAGGGGGAGGGGGGAAGACAGAAGGGCAAGCCAGACCTTCCGGCGGCCAACGCCAGCAATCGGGTGGCCGAGGGTTGCAAAGTTGCTAGAGCCCCTTCTGTCGGAGAACTCCGCCTCCCTTCCGCCATAAAACACCCCTGACAGCCCGGAGTCAAACGTTTCTCTTTCCACGAGGTCCAGGGCACTACAGTATTTATATCGGAGATATTTTGATTCCGCCAGCCAAGCCCGCCCTCGCCCGCCCGCCTCGCACATGTTGACTTGTCTTCTCCCGAAGAGTGCCAAGGCTGGAGGCCAAGCCCCAAAGAGCCAGCCAACCGGGGGGGGGGTGAGGAAGCGTGATGTGCCCTCCCTTTTTTATTCAGGAGTGGCTGAGGGCGCAGTCTCAAGGGTGGGGGGGGAGGGAGGCCTCCTTGCCCTCAACACCCAGCACCTTCCAGGGCACGTTTTACCCGAAGGCGTTCTCCTGATTCTTTTGGGCTGCAGCCCCTCTCCCGTTGCCCCGAGCGTCTTGCCCGGCCTCCAGAGGCGGAGGTGCTGGAAGGCAGCCCCGAGAACAAGGCTCCCTCCACCCGTAGAGTAAATGGGAAGCCTGGCGCTGCTCGCCACGGCTATGTTCGCCAAACCTTCTTGATGTCGTGTGTGTGCGTGTGTGTGTGTGTAATGAAGGGGGGGAGGGCTGGCGGGGAAGAAGGAGGAGGAGAGGGTTAAATATAACGGTGTAGACCCAAACCATCTTGCTCTGGAAGAGTCGCGGCAGACAGCCTCCTGAAGCGCAAAGGAAGATGATAAGAATAGATTTTTCTCCAAGTCCTGACCACGTGATGGGCGAAATAATTAATTCAGCGCGTCCCTTAAGAAACGCGGAGTCGTCATTAATCTGCCAAGCAAAGGACTCTATCAGACTTGAAAACTGAAGAGATCCCAAGAATATAATATACAAAGGGGCGCGCGGGCTCTTTCTATGCACACCTAGGCTCTTTGGCGAAAGCCGAAGGGGGGGAAAACAAAACAACACAAAACTAAATAGATATACATTTTGCCACTAATAAAAGAAAGAAAGAAAGCGGAGCTTGGTATGTACACATTTTCTTTCTTTTCTTTTACATTTCGAAATCCTGAATGAACTTAGCTGTCAGATGCTTGACAAGTCAGGGGCCCTTCTTTTCCTGATTTGTAACCCTGCCCTAGTCCGACGCTGTTCTCGGCGGCCGTGCGTGCGTGTGTGTGTGTGTGTGTGTGTTGGGGGGCGAGACACCCCAATGGGTCGACTCTTGATGGTGTGAGATTAAGAAACGGAGCCTTCCGGGGACCGGCGGTGGAGGAGAGAGGGAGAGAGGAAAGGACGGGGGTTTTTTTGACCAAAGGCTGGGAGAAATAGGGGTAAAAGAAAAAAAAAAAGAAAAAAGAAAAAAGAAAATACTGGCCGTTTAACGGAGAACAATATTAGCTGTCAGGGTATCTGCTACCCATTCTGAAACGGTGAGAAAGGGCCTGAACTTCTTTTCAAGCAAAGGTCGTAAATTTTGCTTTGCGTCATAATAGAAGACTATAAAATCGAGCCGAAATTTTACCCAAGGCAGACTTTAACTAAGAGATAATGAATTCTAAAGGTACTTCTGCACCACCACCTCGCGGGGCTGCCGGCGTGGCTCCATCAGTCCACAAAAGCCCCGGTGGTTTCGGAGATTTCATGTTAGGGCTTCTGTGCCCGGGAGGAAGGCAGACCTGGAAAGGATCTGGAGGACCCAGCTGAAAAGGGAATATTCCCACTGGAGAGACAGAACAGCTTTTGATTCCTTTTGTAAAAGAGATTCTGTTGTAAACAAGCAAGCAAACGAACAAACACGTGGCTTTGTGTTGAAATAACTTTTTTTTTTAAAAAATGGGACTTTTAAATGCTTGATTAATGTAGCTATATATCTGTGTGCGGGCGAGGGGAGAGTAGTCGGATCTAATAAGTAAAAAGGCTTCCGCGTTGCTGTGTGGTAAGGTTTGGGAACAAAGCGATGAAATTTCCGCTGGTTTGGAGAAATCTGTTTGGTAAAACAGCGCCGTCTTTATTAAGGCTCTCTTCGAAACCTTTCTCTTGTCTTCTCTTCAGATTGTTGCTTTTTATGATTTCCGTTGTGTGTCAGGACATAGACGGAGTTTCCTGTGTTATAAATTATACATTCAAACAATAACACATTAATTCAATTATTCGGATATGACAAATGATTTTGCTTCGGGTTAGTGACTAAGAAACATATTTGCTCTTTCACAATCTGAATGCACACACATGCAGGTTGCATATTCTCTCCCTTGGTCCCAGTGAGAACCCAAAATTACCAGGGAGGGAGGGAGGGAGGGAGGGAGAGAGAGAGAGGGAGAGAGGGAGAGGGAGAGAGAGGGAGCAAACCTAAATGGAGAAGGCCCTTTAATGATAACGCTGATTCCTGCATATCGCCTAGAATATTTTATCAGTTTGACAATTGCCGTGTTTGTTGTTATAAATCATCGTAAGTAATTCCTGGAAGGATGCTCCTCTCTCTCTCTCTCTCTCTCTCTCTCTCTCTCTCTCTCTCTCTCTCTCTCTGTGTGTGTGTGTGTGTGTGTGTGTGTGTGTGTACCGGCTTGCGTGCATAGGATGGAGGGGTGGGGTGAAA